ACGCCTTTAATCCCAGCACTTGGGAGGCAGAGCCAGGCGAATCTCTGTGAGTTCGAGGCTAGCCTGGTCTACAGAGTGAGTTCCAGGAAAGGTGCAAAGCCACACAGAGAAACCCTGTCTCAAAAAACAAACAAACAAACAAATCATTGAAGCTTTTACCCATAAACCCCCAAACACTCACCCATGGCCCCTTCCCATGGATGTGGTGGCCTCTGTCCCTGACTGTCCCTCTAGCAAGACTGGTACAGCCTAAAGAAGGAAGTGGCCAGCTGGGCCTCAGCCACCAGCCTGAATGCTCACGGCCAGCTGGACTTCCTCTCTGCTCTCAGTCTCCTGGCGGGGTTCTGGGGCAGCTCCAACTGGACACAGATCAGAGGGGCCCGGCCTGTGTGTGGCAGGCCAGATGTTGACTGATGCTGTCCAAGCCTTCTCAGCTGTCCCCAGATGCCACGAAGAGCAGGAGTCCCGGGGCTTACAATGAGCGGGACCCCCTCTGTGAACAATATGCAGACTGGAGTGCTCGCCCCACCTGGGAGTGGAGACCCACGTGGTTTTCTCTCCTTGCTCTCTCTCCCTCCCCAACCTCTTGAGGCAAGACTGGACTCTGTTGCCTAGTCTGCTCTCGAGCTCCCAGTGATCCTCCTGCTTCAGCTTCCCGAGTGCTAGGATGACAAACCTGTACCAGCACACCCAGTTTCCCCCAGGACAGCACTGGCTGGCCTATGCTGGACACCAGACCCAGCTCCTCAGCAGATCCCTACATACAGCAGGGTGGGAACCGCCAGGCTGAGTGCCCGGGGTGGCTAAGGCCGGGCCTGGGAGCGACGACAGGGTTCCGGAAACATCACACCGTGAAGAGCCAAGTGGGAGACCACCATACCACAGCTAGCCGCGTCCCAGAGCCACCCACAGGCCACCGTGAGCAGCGAGCACGGGACACAGAAGACCTGGTCTCAGGATCCGCAGCTCGCGTGCAGCCAGCACGGTGCACAGGCCTGCTGTGTGCGCATGCCTGCCGTGTGCCCATGCCTGCCCTGTGCGCAGGCCTGCCGTGTTGGCTGCTGTTCTGTTGCCCTGATAAATAAAACACGTATGGCCACGAATGGAAGAAAGTTTATTTGGGCTTACGGTTCCGAGGGTGGGGCGGCGTGGACTAGGTGGCGAACAGACGAGGAAGAGTTCACATAGGGAACCACAGCACAGAGCAGAGAGAGCGAACTGAAAACGGGGTGAGACTTTTCATCCCAACGCCCACCGACCCGCGGTGACATACTTCTTCCACATACTTCCTCCAGCGAGGCTGCACCTCCTCCACCTCCCCAAGCCAGGCCAAGCATTCCAATGCCTGAGAGCGCGCAGGGGGTGGGGTGGGGGGGTGTCACCTCAGCCAGACCTCCCCACATCCTCTCTGCATTTGAGAGGACGGTCCTAAGTTTTAGGCCAGCGTGGAAAGAGAGGAGCCTGAGACAGAAGGAAAAGAGGTCTGGAGAGGTGGCTCAGCGGTTAAGAGCTCTTGTTGCTCTCAGAGAGGACTTGGGTTCAATTCCCAGGACCCACAGGCAGCTCACAACCCGCTTCGGTTCCACGGAATCCAGTGCCCTCTTCTGGCAGGGCCGGGACCTGTACCCATGCGGGGCACAGATTATGCGGACAAACGCACATACACATGAAATAAAACGAAATAAACCTCATCTATACATGAATACACACTAATACAAATAATTAAAAATAAAAGTCTAGAATAAATTGTGTGATGTGGTGGCGCACGCCTTTAACCCCAGCACTTGGGAGGCAGAGGCAGGTGGATCTCTGAGTTTGAGTCCAGCCTGGTCTACAGAGCGAGATCCAGGACAGCCAGGGATGCACGGAGAAACCCTGTCTGGAAAAAACACCACCACCAACAACAAACCCTAAAAAAAATTTAAACAGTCTTTGTGTTTTTGTTTGTTTGTTTGTTTTGTTTTTGTTTTTCGAGACAGGGTTTCTCCGTGTAGTTTTGGTGCCTGTTCTTGATCTCACTCTGTAGACCAGGCTGGCCTCAAACTCACAGAGATCCACCTGGCTCTGCCTCCCGAGTGCTGGGATTGAAGACGTGCGCCACCACCGCCCGGCTTAAACAGTCTTATAAAAGTTAAGAATAAAAGCAGCCAAACGAATGTGTGTTTTACAGCTGTATTTCAGTAGATCGAGGGAACTGGGAGAGCCAGAGAGCTGCCACACCCAGAGCACACGCAAGCGGAAAGCCTTCCTATGGGCTGGGCTGGCTCCACAGAGGAGTCCTCCCCAGGTGGGCCAGTCCAAAAGAACTGGCCGTGCTCTCATCTGCAGCCAGAGTCCCAGACCCTGGTCACAGGTGGTGCCTGGGAGGGTCCTTCCTTCCTGTCCCAGACTCCGGGACTCTGGCTCTGCAGGGCTTGAGGCCTTACCCCCCCCAGCCGCCTTAACCCCCCCCCAGCCTCTTCCTGTGGCTTTACCTGGTTCTGCTGTGACTCTTTTGTCAGTTACAGAGACCTAGTTAGGGACTGGGGTGTGTGGGGCTGGCACTGAGTGTGTGGATTCCATATCCAGCGCAGAAAAAAAAAGAAATTAAAAAAAAAATTCTGAGTTTTAGCCAGGTGGTGGTGGTGCATACTTTTAATCCCAGCACTTGGGAGGCAGAGCCAGGTGGATCTCTGTGAGTTCGAGGCCAGCCTGGGCTACAGAGCGAGATCCAGGACAGGTACCAAAAGTACACAGAGAAACCCTGTCTTGAAACCACCCCCCCCCAAAAAAAATCTAAATTTTAAAATTATGGCATTCAAATTTATGGATTGGTTTGTGGTTAGTTATTTTCTTCTTTTTTTAAATTTCATTTCAGTTCAGGTGTACAGGTATTTGCCTGTATGAATGTTTGTGCACCACTTGCGGGCCTGGCGACTGAGGAGGCCAGAAGCAGGCATCAGATCCCCTGAACTGGAGCTACAGATGTCTGTAGGCCGCCATGTGGGTGCAGGAGATAAAGCCTGGGTCTTCTGGAAGCGCAATCCTCCTCTTAAACAGCTGAGTCATCTCCCCACCCCCCCTCCCTCTTCTTCAGCGTGTTTTTTGGTTTTGGGGCTCCTATCGCCCAGGATGGCTCTAACTGACTGTGTAGCCTAAGAGCCCTGAACTCCCGATTCCCTGGCTTCTCTCCAGGTGCCGGCATGACAGGCATGTACCACCATTCCTGACGACTTTCCATTTTTATCTGCTAATCTAGGCAGTTCTAGAAACTGGTTTTGGGAGGTCAGGTGGCCAGGGCGGTCAGGCGAAAGGACTTCTCAGAAGGCTACAGGCCATGTAGGGTCAGCTGGGCCTGGGACCCTGGGAGGGGCTGGGTCAGATGAAAGGATTTGAGGAGGCTGCAGGCATGCGGGGTCAAGGAGGACTCTAGAAAGCCTGGGAGGGGGTTGGGCTTCACTGTGTAAACAGGCCCTGGCTTCCTGGCCAACCTGAAGTTTCCCAGAGGCCCGAACATGCAGGGGTTCGGAATTCCCCCGCGGCCCAGCCTTGTTTGTTTTGACCCTGAGGCCCTTTGATGCCAGCTGGCAGGCTCCCCTGCCCTGGCCCTCGTTCTGCACGTAGCTTGGAAGGCCCTCTCCAGGAGGGCTTTGGGGATTCTGGGCAGTTCAGAGGCCCCCAAGCCTGAGAGGCCGCTGCGGCTGTGTGTAAGTGGGTCAGGAGGCCCATAGCGATTTACCGTGGAGCCCGGGCCCCTCGGACACAGGCTCTGTCCGTCCTATCACCCCTGCCAGTGGCTGTCCTTCCTGGCCACTCCCGAAGCTCCTGGCAGGGTGTGCGTACCCTCCAAGGCGCTGCTGACCCCTGAGGCTGCTCCCAACCCCCTGGTTACTCCCTCCCCCCACTTTATTTTGATGGGGAACTGAGTCTGGGTTGCCTAGCTGATCTTGAACTCCCAGTAAGCAGGCGATCCTCTGGCCTCAGACTTCAGAGCAAGTAAGACTCACAGTAGGTTTTTGTTTTGTTTTTTAATTTTTGTTTTGTTTTTAAGATGGGGTGTGGTGGTATTGTGTTCCCCGAAATATTGTGCACCCTAATAAACTTACCTGGGGTCAGAGACAGAACAGCCACAATATTAAACATAGAGGATAGGCAGTGGTAGCACACGCCTTTAATCCCAGCACTTGGGAGGCAGAGCTAGGCAGAAATCCATGTGTTCAAGGATACAGCCAAGCATGGTGACTCACGCCTTTAATCCCAGAAAGAGAGCCTTTAATCCCAGGGAGTGATGGTAGAAAGGAAAGATATATAAGGCGTGAGGACCAGGAACAAGAAGCATTTGACCTGGTTAAGCATTTGCCTGGTTAAGCATTTGCCTGGTTAAGCTTTTAGGTTTTGAGCAGCACAGTTCAGCTGAGAACCAATCAGATATGAGGACACAGAGGCTTCCAGTCTGAGGAAACAGGATCAGCTGAGAAGTTGGCCAGGTGAGGTTAGCTGTGGCTTGTTCTGTCTCTCTGACCATCCAGCATTTCACCCCAGTAACTGGCCCAGGGTTTATTTTATTAATAAAGACCCTTTAAGATTCATGCTACAATGGGGTTTCTCTGTGTAGCCCCGGCTGTCCTGAGACGCTGTAGCCCAGGCTGGCCTTGAACTCACAGAAATCCACCTGTCTCTGCCTCCCGAGTGCTGGGATTGAAGGCGTGCGACACCACCGCCCGGCTGAAATATGATTTTTTTTTAAATGCAAAGGAGATCGGAGCGCGGTGGCGCACGCCTTCCCTCCCAGCACTCGGGAGGCAGAGGCGGGCGGATCTCTGTGAGTTCTGGAACAGCCAAGGCCACGTGGAGAGACCCCGTCTCAGAAAAACCAACCAACAAGAAAACCTGAGTCCTCCCGGGACGTCCAGGATGCAGGCCCCACCCCGCAGTGGGTGTGGCTGGCGTGGTCACGTGCCAGCGCCCCCTCCGCGCTGCCCGCCGCCGGGTGCAGGGTACGTGCCTACTCGCTGCAGCGCCGGGCGCCCCGCCCCGCGACGCCGCGTGCGTGCGTGCGGGCGTGCCTGCGTGCGTGCGGGCTTACGCGCGTGCGTGCGCTCCGCCCTCCCGTCCTTCTTATAGAGCCGCCGCGGGGCCGCGCTCGGTCGAGGCGACATGGCGGCGGCGCTGCTGCTGGCTCTGGGCCTCGCGCTCCTGGGCGGCCAGGGCGCCTGCGCGGCGGGTAAGACCCGGGGCGGGGGCCACGGGCCTCGGGTGAGCCCCAGGTTTGCGGGGCCCGGGAGTCTGGGGAGCCACAGCTTGGGTTCCATACCTCGGGGAGGAATAACTGGCTGTGGGTGACCCTGGAGTTGACCCCCGACCTGGGCTGGGCCACAGGGTGGAGGGAGGGGACCCCGGGGACGCGGCCCTGTAGAGGCACAGCTACGCGAGGCGTTCTGAGGCTGGGGGGCCCGGGTGGAGGGAGCCGCCACCTTGCAGCCGTCCCCACCTGGGCATGGGCTGCGAGGCAACCCAGAGGATTCGGAGTGCAGACGCGAGTGGAGATGACCCCAGATTTGGGACCGCTGGGGATGGGGGGAGCCGCTGCCCTACTGTCCCCGCTCCCGGAACCGGGCTGGGAGCTGACCCTGGGGGCTTGAGGATACAGTAGCGACTATAATTGGCCTCGATTTGGGGGAGTTGGGGAAGGCGTGGGTGGAGGTGACCCTGAGGCTGGGAGGCACAGTAAGGCCCTGGGACAACACCTCTACGTTTGAGTGGTCGTGGACGGAGCTACCCTTTCGGTGTTAGCACCTGGGTAACCGGGCTGGGAGGCGACCCTGGATGGAGATTGACCTCCTCTCGGTTTAGGAACCCGGGGGGCACGAGGATGAAAGGAGTCACCACGCTGATCGTTCCCCACCTGAAAGACGGGGCTGGGCAGTGATCTCGGGCAGGAGGGATTATTGCCCGACATCTGGGAGAGGTGTGGGGGACGGCGTGCTGCCGATGGCTTCCTCCAGATTTGGGGAGACCTGGAGGCTGAGGAAGCGGCCACGGTGGGGAAGACCCCCCCCTAGGGAACGTGTCAGGAGATGACCCCAAGTTTGGGAGACCTGGGAGTGGAAGGAACTGCAATCTTGGTGTCCACACCTGGGGAGGATGAGGATGGGTGAGAGGCAGCCTTTCCTGAAAGGTTGGGGGAAATTGGGGTGGAAGAAGCTTCCATTTCAGTGCGTCCAAACTTGGGAACCAGACAGGGAGGTAATCCAGGGGATTTGGGGTGCAGAAGTGCCTGGAGGTGAAGTCTCCAAGTTTGGGCATGTGAGTGGCAGTGAGGTGACTCTGGGGACTTGGGGGGCAGGGTCATTGAAGTTGTGGTCATGTGAGGGTAATGGAGACCAAATCACCAATAACTTGGTATCTGCACCCCGGGGGGAGGTTGGGAAACAACCGGGTGGGGTGTGTGTCTTGGGCACAGTGGTCCTGATGTAGGGGATGGGGCGGAGGAAGGTGCTACGTTGATGTTTCTACTTAGTGAGTGGAGGATGACAGCAGCACTGTTTGGGGACCTGGGAGAAGGAGAGGTGTTGGCCCTGGGTTGGGGGCGGCATTGCCTGTAAGTAATGTCCTTGAGTACTGGAAGATGTGGATTAGAAAGGGGGTGGGAAGCCTGGCGGCGGCGCACCTTTAATCCCAGCACTCGGAGGCAGAGGCAGGAGGATCTCTGTGAGTTCGAGGCCAGCCTGGGCTACAGAGCGAGATCCAGGACAGGCACCAAAACTACACAGAGAAACCCTGTCTCTGGGGGGGGGGGGAGGAAGGAGACCCTGTGGATTCTTGGGGTACAGAAGTGCCTGGGGATAATGTATCCTGGGCTTGGAGGACTGGGCTGCGTAGATCTGTTGCCCTGGTATCATTATATGGAGGTTGGGTGGGGAGTTCCTGTCCCTAAGTTTGGAAGAGTCCCAATTAGGTAGCTCTTCAGGTGTCCCCAGCTGTCCCTGTCCTCATTGGAGTGAGCTGCCAGGCTTGCCGTTGCCCACAGGGGCTGTATCAGTCATCCCTGCTCCTTGGCAATGGCCAGTGCTCCTGCCTCTGGAGAAGGAGATGGAGGAGCCCCCGGGCAGGAATCAAAGCTGATCTGGGGCTCCCTTGGGAGTGAGAGCCTGTGAATGGCCCTGGTTCACAGGCTCCGGGACTTGTGGGATTATCATTCTTGATGAGATTTCCGGTGGCTGAGGCCCAACACCCCGCTTGCCCCCACCCTGGAGCCTGGCCCATTCTAGCCTTGGGTTTTTGCCTGATTGGGGCTCAAAGGGGAAACTGAGGTCCAGGTGGGGGAGGCTGGTGTTCAAGGTCATGGCAAGGTTGAGTGTAGGGGGCAGTGAAGCAGGCCTGGAGCGCATGGGCTGCTCTCCTACCTACTCCAGACAGCAGGCACAGGGCCGGACCTGAGCTCTACTAGAGAAGTGGGGTTCTTGGGCAGTCGATTCGGGAGCGGCTGTGCCTGGCGGCAGTGCCCCCGGGTTAATCCTGACCCACTTTACCAGCCCTCTTCCTCACCATCAAAACATCTTGAGGTGCCCCCACCGGCTGGCTCTCGGGTGCAGACAGCTGCCCCTGGCAAGGTGGATGCAGCTGATAAAGTGCCCTGTCCCAGATGGGGAGCCTGGCAGGAGTCTTCCCACTCTGCCTGGGCGCAGGCCCAGTGGCTTCCTGCCTGGGTTAAGCAGACCTTTGCAATGCCCGGGGGCCAAGCACAAAATGTAGCTTGCGGGCAGGTCTCAGCCCTTCCTGGGGACAGCCGAACAGCCTGGGCAGGGCTAAGTTCAGTCTACAGTGTGTTCACTGTCCACCGCGGAGGGGAGGGAGGTGCCCCGGGCGGGCCCTGCTCAGAGGGCTGTGTGGCCCGGGCATTCCTGTTTTGTTTTCCTGGTTGTGTGAGGCTGGGGTTTGACACTGGGGCCTCCTAGAGGCTGGTGTGAGCCTGCCACACTCCAGTTTGACACAGCCTGAAGAGCTCCTGCTTTTCCAGCGGCCACCCGGGTCTGATTTAACCCTAATACCTCGGGTGACAGAGTTGCTAGCTGGGTCAGCGCTGGGTCGCAGGAGGCTGGGTGTGGGCTGCCCTCCAGAGCAGTGCCCCCTCCCTGCACCCTGTGGCGCTGGCTTGTTTACCCATGGCCCAGTCTGGCCCTGCTCCCGCCCGGCTGTGAGTGGGCAGGGAGGAGGGCGCTGTTTTTAGACCGAGGTGGCGGCTGGAAGCTGTGGGCTGCAGGTCACGTGGCCAGACTCCCAGCTTGGCTTTTCAGAGGCTCCTGAGGTTGGGATCCGGGTTATTGGTCACCCCTAAGTAGTGTAGATGGTACCTTCCCAGACACCTATACCCCAGCTGTACTTAGGGAGGTGTGGGGAGGTCCGTGACAGATGCCAGGGAGTCCCACAGAGCACCCTGGTTCCTGAGACTAGATCCTGGCCCACCCAGCGGGTCCTAACGGCCTGGCATGTGACCATTCGGCTCCTGATCGCTGGAACATGGCAGCCGTGCCCCAGATGAATGATACCATAGTATCTCTTCAGAAACCCGCTTGGGGTCCTGGGGACATCTGTCTTTCTGTCTTTCCTGACGTCAGTTCTAGATGAAGTGTTGATGCAGGCCTCCTGGAGCGGTGGGCAGAGAAGGGAACCGAGGGAGCCAGGCTGCGCCCTCTCCTGCCCTGACTTGCCACACCCACTGGCCTGGAGCTGCAGGTCTGGGAGATCTCCACTCTGGAATGTAGGTTATTAGGAAGCCATCTCTCCACCAAAGCTGCTAACTGTGTCGTCTCTTCCCCGGGGGCCTTGGGGCCACCTAGGTGGCAGGTCCAGTCTTGGTCCCTACTGCCCAACACAGGGCCTCAGGGCCCAAACCCATACACTTGTGCCTTCAGACACATCCATGCCTTGTGTGGGCATGCAAGGGCCTGCCTGCCTTCCCTGCCTTCCCCGGGACGTGTGTTTGAGGCAGGCGCACAGGCCTCTGTGTAGTGCTGAGAAGCCTGCCTATCTTTCTCACTCTTTCATTTTGGAGACGACTCTAACCTTCTGGCCTGCAGCTCCCAAGTCAGGGAATGACAGGTGAGCCACAGCAGCACCTGGCTCCCGTTCTGTCTTTTTTAAGTTACATTTATGGTGTGTGTGTGTGTGTGTGTGTGTGTGTGTGTGTGTGTGTGTGTGTGTGTTGGTTGCCCGCCCACAGGTCCCTGGGTCTTGAGGATCAAACTCAGGACTTCAGACTTGCTTGGTGGCGACCACCTTTCCTCAGCCCCTGGGGTTCTGTCTTTCCACCTAACCTCCTGCTTCTCCCCACAAGCAGAAAGGAGATGGAGTTGGTTGAGTTTGCCTCAGACCAGGCCATGTGGCAGGCAGGCCCTGTGGTTGGCCGTCTTCCTGTCTAGGTAGTAATGGGTGCTATAACCCTCTCCCCTAGCTGGCTTCCTCAAGGCGCCGCTGTCCCAGGAGCAGTGGGCGGGGGGCAGTGTGGTGCTGCACTGTGAGGCCGTGGGCAGCCCTGTCCCTGAGATCCAGTGGTGGTTTGAAGGGAACAACCCCAACGACAGCTGCTCCCAGCTCTGGGATGGCGCCTGGCTGGACCGAGTCCACATCCATGCCACCTACCGCCAGCATGCGGCCAGCACACTGTCTGTGGACGGGCTCGCCGCAGAGGACACGGGCACCTACGAGTGCCGGGCCAGCAGTGACCCTGACCGCAACCACCTGACCCGGCCACCCAGGGTCAAGTGGGTCCGTGCCCAAGCAAGCGTGGTGGTCCTTGAACGTGAGTGGCCAGGGCACCTGTCCTCTGTTCTCCTCTTGTGCCACCCACCCTGGCTCCCACTCGTAGAACCAGATGCCGCTCTGTCCACCACCAGTTGAGGCCTCCCTGGGGACATGGGTGGGCTGGACAGCCATCCATGTCACCTTGCTGGGTGCTGGCTGGCCCTGCCCTCCTGCAGGCGGGTCCTCGGCTCCCGTCCATCCTGTTCTCTGACCTGCCCTCCCGGCTCACAGCCCCTCCCGTGTGTTTGTCTGGTTGGGGTGGGGGCTGCTGCCCAAGTGTTCGCTCTGACTGCCCACTGCAAGCTCTCCAGAACCTTCTGGGGCCTTAGTTTCCAGTTCTGAGTGAAGGAAATGAGAGGCACCCACACCGCTTTGTTATGTGGGGAGTTGGGCCTGGTGCTCCCCCCGAAGCACGTAGCTGTGGGAGCAGCAGACGGAACTTGGGCAGCCAAGTGTCTTACCTTGGAAATGGCTTTCTACTCGGACATTAGCTTGCCTTGGAAGGAGTCCGGGGCTGCAGTGTCAGCCACTGTGATTCCAAAAGTGGCCCTTGTCGGGGGCACGAGGCAGGCTGTGGGGTCAAGACCCTTGGACGCTGCGCTGACTCTTTGTCCCTGTGCCCTCCTAGCGGGTACCATCTCAACCAACATCGAGAAAAAAGAGTCCAAGACATACTTCACATGCACTCTGAACAGCAGTGCCGTCGACATCCTTGGCCACCGCTGGATGAGAGGCGGCAAGGTACTGCAGGAAGACACGCTGCCTGACCTGCAGATGCAATACTCGTGAGTCCGTGGTTCTCGGGGCGCCACCATGATGCCACCCCACCCCCCAAAGCATGTGGTTGTGCTAGGGCTCCCCACAGCTCTAGATGGGTCACGTGGCCTCGCTGTGTAGCATGAGAAGCGGAGACCCTGTGGTCTCCACAGCCTGCATGGGGAGGTGGCCGCCGCCACGCCCTGCGGGCTCCTTACGCCATCGTTCTGCCCCCACAGGGTGGACACACATGACAGCGCTGGGGAGTATTCCTGCATCTTCCTTCCCGAGCCCGTGGGGAGGGCCAGCATCCTTGTGGAAGGTAAGCTGGGTGGCCAGGAGGTGGCGCTGTGGGGCCGGGGCAGTCCAAGCTTGGGTACCAGGCTGTCACCTCCCTCTCACAGGACCACCCCGGATCAAGGTCGGAAAGAAGTCAGAGCATGCCAGTGAGGGGGAGACCGTGAGACTGGTCTGCAAGTCTGACTCATCCCATCCTCCTGTCATTCAGTGGACCTGGTTCAAGACCTCTGACTCTGGGGACCAGGTGCAGGCTGCGTGGAGACATGGGGTCTGGACAGGCAGCAGAGGGGCCTGGGGCCCTAGGACTGGGGGCGCTGTAGTGGAGACCGGACTTCAGGGATGGGGAGTGTCACAGAAGGGGGTGGGGGACTTTGGGGACATGAGGCTTCAAGGATGGCAGGGACAACCCGGGCCCGTAGAGGGATGTTGTGGGGCTCCTGGAACGGGAGGAAAGGCTGTGGCAGAACGTGACGAGCCCCTCTTCCCCAGGTGATCACCAATGGCTCTGAGAGCAAGTACCTCGTGATATCCACACCGGAGAGATCTGAGTTGACCATCAGCAACCTGGACATGAATAGCGACCCTGGCACCTACCTGTGTAACGCCACCAACTCCCAGGGCACTGCCCAGGAGAGGATGACACTGCGTGTGCGAAGCCGCCTGGCCGCCCTCTGGCCCTTCCTGGGCATCGTGGCTGAGGTCCTGGTGTTGGTCACCATCATCTTCATTTATGAGAAGCGACGGAAGCCCGACCAGTCCCTGGACGGTGAGCATCCCTGGGTCTGGGTGAGTGGGTGGGGCGCCCCTCAGTGTCAGCCTGAGGGAGAAGGCAGTCTGCTCATAGCTCACCTTCCTCTCTTCTCTTCACTTGGCCACAAGCTGGTGTCCTCTGTGGTGAGCTCCCCCTGTGGCTCAGGCAGCTGTGGGGGGCTTGGGGCTGTGGGGGCCTCCGGCCGTGGACTGCATGGCGGCGAGCCTGGGCTGTGGGGTGTGTTGGCCTCACCATGTGCTGATCACTGCATGACACCTGTGCGGCACCTTGAGGGTGGCATTGTGGGGCGGGGTTCAAGCCAGCCACACTGAGGGGGACCGCGGCTGGAAGAGCTTAGTGGACGCTGACCCCTGTCCTCTCTCTCTCTTTCATGTGGCTGCTCATCACAGAGGATGACCCTGGTGCTGCTCCACTGTAAGTCCAGCCCACTGTGCGCCCTGGGAAGCTGCTGTTGTCCTGTAGAAATGGGGGGGGGGGTGCACGTCCATCCTTCATAGGCCTTGGTGGGGGCTGCTGTTGGAACAGTGGCCGGATTGCAGACCCTTCCTGGTGGGAGTAAGGCCAGCCCTGTGCCCCTCAGTGCTGAGAGTCCTTTCTCTGTCCTCAGGAAGGGCAGCAGCCATCACCTGAACGACAAGGACAAGAACGTACGCCAGAGGAATGCCACCTGAATGGTGGAGCAGGCGGGGCCTGGGGGACGCCTGACCCCAGCCCAGTGTCCACCTCCACGCCCATTCCCATCTGCCCAACCTCCTGTCCCAACCCGGGTGAAGACAGAGCCTCACCGTGCAGAAAGCCCACCTGGAAGAAGAAGCCGCCCACAGCACCCCTGATTCTAGTTTAAACTAAACGAGGTTTCTATGCAGAGAATCCGTTCCTTAGGGGGTTCTGTTTGGTTTTTTCCCCTTCCCTTTTTTAAGCTGGTCACTACAACCCTGTGGAGTGGGAGAGTGGAGTCTTGTCCTTGGTCAGGAGGGAGAGGCCAGGACAGGCGCTGACTTCTGGTGGAGGGGGCCCCCACCTGCTCCCCTGTATGGGACTGCCCATCCTCACCATGGGCAGCATGGCTGGGCCTGCTGGGACCCCACAAATAAAGACCTACCCCGCCATGTTTGTGTCCGCTGTTTGTGGTCCGAGAGTCCATCTTAGCAGGAGAGGGAGTGTTGAGACCACAGCCTGGGGAGGGTTGTGACTAAGAGGGCTTGGCATGGAGCCGGTGAAGAGTGTGATCCCTTCCCAACGCTGGGACCCTTCAGTACAGTTCCTCATCTTGTGGGGACCTCCAGCCATAAAATTACTAGCTGCTTCATTACTGACTTTGTTACTGTTAGGAATCGTAATGTGGATATCTAATATGTCACCCTGTGAAAAGGTCCTTAACACCCAAGGGGGTTGAGAACCACACTGCTCTAGGGTGTCCGAGAAAAGCTGGCCTCTTGAGGGCACTGTTGACCGTCACTGGTGTTCTAAACTGCCCTTTGGCCTAGTACTAATCTAACTATTGGACACCCGCCCTCCAGGAAGTGTGCTGGGTTATGGGAGATGGACAGGCAGCTTCAAGCCAAGCTGGCTTCCGTGCATGAAGTTTGGGGCTGGAGCAGGTGTGTATGTGAGGTGGTGTTATTACATGGTTTGGCTCCAGAGAGATGGGATTCTACAGTCAGCTTTGGTTCCAGCATAGTACATCCCAGAGTGGTGGTGGTCGGGAGGCAGAGTCTCACGCACTGGCCGACCTTTTGGAGGACCACAGGTAAAATTTCGGGAAAGAGATCCTGCCTTCAGGAGCCACCAGAGGGCGTAGCACTTGAGTCCCCTGGTAAGACCTGTGCCCCCAGAACCAAGCAAATGGCTGGGATAGCTGTGGTGCTCACCTGAACGGGCTATACCTAGGTGCCTCATTCTTGTGGATCCCTTAGAAAAACAGGGTATGACCTTGCCAAGGCAGTCAGCCCTGCCTACACAAATGTGCACACGGTCCTGGTAGGGGAAGCCCAGGATATCCACTCCCAGCACAGCCTGCCTATGGTGTTCTTGGGGTTCTGTCCATAAAAGAACCCACCACCACCCCAAAACTGCAGGTGAAACCCCAGTCCTCATGCTCTTTGCCTCTGGGGCCCCAAGATGGTCTCTGGGGCTCTAAGCCTGTGGGTCTTACATCCAGAAAAGAGGGCACAGTGAGGGTTTAGGAGGTGGAGCCCACTGAGGGCTCACCTCCAGTCACCTCCAGAGCAGTGCTCCAGGGGGTGTACCTCCCATCATGCAGGTTCTTGTCCATACAACCAAAGCTTGGTGAGTGTCGGCTGCATGCCCTTCAGCCCAGGACATCCAGGAGTAAATGCTTACCCCTGTCCTGAAAGCCTGCTCAGTTCGAGGTGAGATGGGCACAGGATCACCTTTGTCAAAACATTTAGAAGAATCTGGAACTGGCCTTTGGGGTCCCCCCCTGGGAACCACAGGGTCTCAGGAATCCCAGCCCCCAGCTGGCAGGCAGAGACGAGGCCCAGGGCCTTGGTACAACAAAGGCTCATTGATGGAGCTGGACCCCACAGGGACCCAGCAGCTGGCTGCTCACTTCTGCTCTGGGCAGACAGGGCTGCCCATCCCTCTCCAGTCCCTGGTCCAGCTCATCTACCCAATCCTAACCCTTATGTAAGGATGGTACGCTGGTGTATACCCACAGCATGAGGACCAGGATCCGGAGGCCCAGGGAAGCCGAACAAGGCGGCAGAGCTGAGGTTTGTAAAGACTGTAGTCCATCAGACCAGCTCACCATGAACCAGCTTCTCCACCTCCCCACCGGGGCTGTGGGAGGAGCAAGCCTGAAGTGAACCACAGGTTGGTGTGGTGATGCACACTTGTCTCTCAGCACCCCGGAAGTGGAGTCGCGAGGATCGGGAGTTCCAGGTCACCCTCAGCCACATACTGAGTAAAGTATGTAGACAGAAGTAAGACACTCCTCCCTGCTTAATGTGCAGATGCTATGGAAACAGACCCCAGGGAGATGTGTGGTGGACACACAAGCTGTGTGTGTGGATCAGAACCTGGAGAGCCACCCCCTTTCCTGAGCCTTACCCTTCGGGCCAGGAAACCCACAGAGCGGATCCTGTCAGCCCAGGGGTCCAGCTTGAGTTTGCCAAACGCTGCTGGGGCCAGCTTCCCTACGGGCCCACCCCTTCCCTGGCCTAGTTCTGTCTCCGCTCAAACCCAGGAATCCTGAATAGGAAATGACCAGTTAGTGCTGGGAGGATGGGCAGAGGGATTGGGGATGAGGAAGACCCGAGAAGACTGAAGGAGACCCTTGGAACAAATGATTTGATTCCTAGGTCATTAGTTTTCCAAAGGCGATGAGATTGTGTGTGTGTGTGTGTGGAGGGTGGATTATAGGGCTGAGCCGAAAATAAAGGTGCACAACTACCCTCAGCGTTTGATTGGTTGCCTGTCAGGGTCTTACCAAGTGGTACTAGTTGGTCTGCAGTTCACTGTGTAGATCAGGTTGGCCTCAAATTCAGAGATGTACTCGCCTCTGACTCTCCAGGGCTGGGATTGAAGGCAGGGCCACTATACCCGGCATAAAATAAAATAAACTTAAAAAAAAAAAAAAACTAGAGAAGCGGGCTGCGTGTTCTAAGAGCATTTATTGCTCTTGCAGGGGACCCTGGGTTTGGTTCCCAGGATCCACATGGTGACAAGCAATACATAGTTCCAAATAACACCAGCTCCAGGGGATCCAACACCCTCTTCTGGCTTCGTTCAGGACCATTCCAGCATGGTGGCACATACATGTATGTACCACATGTATGTACCATGGTGGTGCAAATACAAACATACATGCACATAAAAAGATAAACATAGCCGGGCGGTGGTGGCGCACCAGGTGGATCTCTGTGAGTTTGAGGCCAGCCTGGTCTACAGAGCAAGATCCAGGAAAGGTGCAAAGTTACACAGAGAAACTCTGTCTCAAAAAACAAAACAAACAAACAAACAAAAAAGATAAATATATCTAAAAGGACAAAAAGTAGCTTAGATAGTTAAAGTGGACAGCTCCTGAGGTATGGCACCCAAGATTGACCTCTGGCTTACACACACACACACACACACACACACACACACACACACACACACACACACACGTCTGAGACTGCAGCCCTGAGCCAGGTACTTATCGAATATTGCAAGCCCACTGGGGCAGGTGTGAGAATGGGTATGGGGACAGCCTGCAGCCAGGTCGGTCGTCCTAGCATCCTCTGTGACCCCTGGGCTGGCAGAGCCGTCTCCTAGCATGGCGGGTCCTCTGACAGCCTGCCACTGCCGCTGGGCTGCCTCCTCCCCTGCATTCAGCCACAAGCCCTGGGGCTCTGGCGACCTGCCCGGCTGACATCTTCCCAGGGCGAACATAAAAGATCCCCCTTCATCTGGAACAGGCATGTGCCCTGGGGCGGGCCACAGCCTGGCACTGTCAACTCTGATGTTCAAAAGTGGATGCCAAAGGGGCGGCAGGGGCGTCTTTGGAGTCCCCAGGGTCGGGGCAGCCCATCTGTGTCACATGAGGACATGCAGCTGGCAGGGCACACCCCTGACGCCACTGAACACCTACTGTTTTCAGGTACAAGTCCTGTCATCCTGTGAACTCAGGCCAGAAATGGTGCATGCTGGAGGGACCTTGAGGACCCATGAAGGGCCAGAGGGTTCAGGAGAACCTAGGAAGGACCCGGAAGATCTAAGGGGGTCTGGAGGGGGCCCAGAAGCATCCAGGAGAGTCTAAGAGGGGTCAGGGGATTTACTGATGAACTTAGGTGGGTCAGGAGAAATGAGATGGGGGAGGGGGCAGGAGAAGCTAAGGTGCCCAGAGGGGACACACGAAGATTGCCAAGAGTCCGGGGCATGAGCACTGTCTTCTCACCAACTCCCAGCTATCCTTCCCCTCTACTGCCGCCCCTCCCTCACCCTCCTGTCATAAAATCCTCCCCACTCTGTGAAGCTGGGTGGACATCTAGAGTCAGATCTGGTGTCACCTGGCACATAGCCTCAGGCCGCAGCTTGGGACCCCCTAGGAGCCGATGTCTCCCCAGAGCTGGGGTGGGTAGAATGTAGCTGAGGCCTGAGTCCAAGGCGATAGAGAAGGGCTCCGTGGGGGTCGGGGGAGGTGCCGAGGCAGAAGCTGAGCTTGGATACCCTGGAGACCTCCAAGGATCGCCATACCTGGAAGCCCTCACTACGCTGAAGGGCACCTTTTGGGGATGAGGTCGCCAGAAGCCACAAGAGATTCTATCGACTACGCTTTTGTTGCTCGACTGTGCCTCGGTTTCCCCACAAGCAGGGCTTGGAGAGGTACTAAACCTAGATCCCAGAATGATCTCAGCTTTCCCCACACATATCAGTAGGTCTCTGTAGCGAAGGCAGTGAAAGGGACAGACCCAGGGATCCGGTGGCCTCCGGGAGCACACTTTTATTATGGAATCTGGCACCTTGAGCAACCCCAGAAAGGGGCTGGCACCCGCGGGCTTAGCGTCAGCGGGTGCCCCGCTCGCGCAGTCCTCGGGAACGCGGAGGTAGCCCCAGAGAGGACCAGGGCCTGGTCTGCATCGCGCGCGCAGAGGCAGGGGCCGGCGGGCTGTGCTCGGTGACCTTGGGTGCGTCCTTGGCCTCAGTTTCCCCTGGGGAACTAAGCCTGAGCTCACTTCCACGGTGTCGAGGGGGCTGACTGACTTTGAGCCTGCCTGAGGACCCTAGCCTCAGTTTCCCCCATCCATCCCCGTGTGGGGGTGGGGGTAGCGCAGGTGGAGGCGGGGCTCCCGCCCCCGCCCCTCCCCCGCGCGAAGAGGCTCCGCCCCCGACTCCGCCCTCCCTC